TAGATACATATGTGTAAATGCATATGTGTACATTAGCACAGACAACAAGAATAGAAAAATATAGTGCAAATCTTAACTATCATTAGCTCAGGGAATTGTATTTGAAAAGGAATTATAACATATAACATTATATATATATAATATGTATATTATATATATACACACATATATGTATACAGATATACATATATGTGTGTATATATATTTTTGTTTAGAGTTATTATAATGAGTATACATGAATTTTATATTTTAAAAAATACTGTTATTGTATAAATTTAATAAAACCACAATTGTATATTTAAGCTCTCTTTCCAGTTAAATGTTCATTACAATAAAATAGCATTATACTAAACAGCAACAACCAAAAAAAAATAGGGTTTAATATAAGAGTTTATCAAACTGGCTGGTTAAATACAGAAAAGTAAGCAATGGGGTAAACTTTCCATTGTGAAGATTGGGCTATATCTTTAAGTGTTGAGAAAACAACAAATGAATTTATATAAACAAAGTAAGGAAGAGTACATATGAATATAGTTGTGGAACTACTAGCATAACTACATGTTTACTTTTATAAATATAGAAATTTAAAATATTCTTATCAGTCTATCCATCTAACTGCTAAAAAATCCTTAAGAAATTAATTCTGATAGTTTGGTAGTACAATTGAGGCTCCACTTTGTGTAATGCTTGCTTTTGTGTTTTGTTTTAAGATGTTGCAAACTAGAAAACAAAGAATAATAATTCCACATTAAAAACTCATAACTATTTGGATATTATAAATAAAATATAGGAATTACAAAAATATAATGAGTTTTCATAATGAAATGTTTTTTTTTAAATAAATTTTGACTTGAAGTATGTTTTCAATAGTAATTTAACATCATATAAAACTGTTTCTATGTTAAAAATTTGTTGTTTTGTTTTGTTTTGTTTGTGATGCTGGGAATTGAACTCAAGGCTTACTACTGAGCTACATCTGCAGCCCCCCGGTTAAAAGTTTTTTAAAGGAGATTTTGAGTTGTACATTGATTATTTTATTATAAATGTACAACATATTCTTTTTTGTTGCATGTAAGAGTAATTCTGAAGTTTCAAAGTGCCCTCTGTATTCTTAAATCTTGTAATTATTCATTCTTCACAAAATGCTTTAAAAACCATAGACCACAGGGGGCTTTCAAAGAAGATTCTACAAAAAGGTTCCAATCCATCATGGATTTAATGTATTCTCTTAAACTCGTGAATATATATTTTATTTGTGTCCATTAAATTAAACTTTCACTATTTTGCAAGACTGTTCTTAAATCACAAATTTTCTATATAGTTTTCCTCTTGTTTCCCTTAATATGACTTTCAAAGAATTATACATTTAATCTTAATCCAATAATGCCATTAGACTTTATGGTTTCATTTTTAGAGCTTTAAAAAAAATAAAATGAGTGTTTAAAGTTAGTAAGCATTTACAATTTTCAGAGGAAAAAGTTGAAATAATGAAACTGGACCATGTGACAATAACCTAAATGATCCTTGTTGTGTTTGGGAATCTTGATGTTCATTATCACCTAAACTTTCCACTTGCAGTTGCAGTACTTGGAAAGGTCTTGACATTCAAGCACTGTCATCATGCCCACCCTGAAATGCGTGAGTTGGTATTCTAACCTTTCATGAGAATCAAAAAAAAAAAAAAACTCCCAATAATCAACAGAGGATATGAAACTTTTTCTTAACAGTATTAACCACAAGGCTTCAGAGTGTAAATCAAGAGATATGAAACAAATACTTTAAAAAAACAGTCTAATGGGAGTTCGCTCTTGCTTTCATTTAATCTAAATTTTCTTTTTCATTGGTGTTCACACGTCCTATGATTTTTTAGAGTTCTAATAGCTTTGTAGCATACACATATTACATTGAAATACTACCTTGTATGCATAAATGTATCAGTTTCAATAATTTCATAAATAAAATAGCCTCTCACACACACATATGTATTTAATTCTATCTCATTTGAAAAGGGATAGGCCACTATGGAGCTACTTTTAAACATTAGGCTATCCTTCAGAACTCTATTCCTTCACTTTAAGGAAGGGTATGTAGATATAAGAGGAAGAAAGTAGTTGAATGAGTTCTTTTTTTATTTATATATGACAGTGGAATGCATTATAATTCTTATTACACACATAGAGCACAATTTTTCATATCTCTGGTTGTATACAAAGTATATTCACACCAATTCGTGTCTTCATACATGTAATTTGAATAATAAGCATCACATTCCATCATCATTTATGACTCCATGCCTCTCCCTTCCCCTGCAACACCTCTGCCCTATCTAGAGTTCATCTATTCCTCCCATATTCCCTCTCTTTATTCCACTATGAATCAGTCTCCTCATATCAAAGAAAATATTTGGCATTTGTTTTTTGGGGATTGGCTAACTTCACTTAGCATTATCTTCTATAACTCCATCCATTTACCTACAAATGTCTTTTTTCTGGAGAATTCAGAATAAGACTGGTCAGAGGTGGGGTTGTGGCTCAGTGGTAAAGTGCTTGCCTAGCACACATGAGGCACTGGGTTTGATCCCCAAAACCACATTAAAGATAATAAGAAGAAGAAGGAGGAGGAGGAGGAGGAGGAGGAGGAGGAGGAGGAGGAGGAGGAGGAGGAGGAGGAGAAGAAGAAGTCTGTTCAAAAAAACTAAACAAAGTAATCAAAACAAAGCATGCCATTAACTTCACCAGTAGTCAGAGTCTGACACTATTTTTATCTAGGATACAACACTAAAGGATCAGCACTGTACTTTATATGTAAATGATTATGGAAGAAAAGAAGATAACACAAAGCATAAAAGAAGAGTATTGGAAACTTACTCAAAGAATCCCCAAGTTTTACTGTTCAAAATGTCTAAGCCAGGTGTGGTGGGATATGCCTGTATACCAGGTACTCCATTGGCTTAGGCACAGGAGTTCAAGGGGAGCTTGGGAAACATAGACTCTTTCTCAAAAAAAGCAAAGCCAAGCAAAGAAAAACAAAACACCTGTAAAAGCCTATATAAATCCACTGTTCATCATTATTAATTCTACCTGGATCTTACCTTATTGAAAGTGCACTATTTCAACCATGTCTCTGATTTCATGTTTAATTGCTTTTTAAAATTTTTACTTTTGAATTGTGAAACATTAAACAGGATCTAGCAAACTAAAATATTAATTCAGCATACTGTTAAACAAAGTATTTACTTTGTTTTCCATGGTTAGGGGTTTACTTACTCATAGCATTTGTTTTTAAACTTATGCATCTATCTCTGTAATGTGTGTTTCTAAAATTGAAAAGTAATTTCTCCAAGTTTGTTTTCAGAACCAAATAATACTTAACTTTGTCATCTCAAAAAAGTGTTCTTAATACATGCACTTGTAAAGTTGCTCTTTGATAAGAATATATCATATTTAGAGTCAAAATTTAAATATAAAATATTTTAATTTAAAAAATGACAGTTACTTGTCCTCCAAATGTACACATTCTATCTTATTTTGTTGAAATTTTCAAACACAAAGATATGAATGCTGAATAACTGTGATCTAATTATAAGAATGGACTTTAACTGTGTGAAGTATAATACAATACAAAACATTATCTGCAGGTTTAATCAGGAAAGGGAAAATCCTTGCAGGAAAGGACCTCAATACCAAAACAAATAAAACAAAACACCTTAGCCTCCCATCTATTACAGTACATAAAGGAAGTTATTTTTAACTCTGGGCTTGGAACACTGTCTGTTTTAGGAATTCTATCTATTGTATTTAATGGATCCCCTGAACCTGTCATGCTCAGTGCTTCTGTACTACATCTCCATTAACCTATGAGTAAATTAATCAAAAAGGCTAGTTGGCCTTTGCACTTTTAGTGTTTTACTTCTCTTAAAAGAATCTGCAGTCACAAGTGTACCTTCTCAAATTGATACTGTGTTTATACAGGGTAAAACTAATTCCCTGCCCTACCATATTCCCACTTAGTTTTCCAACTTCATATTCCAATTCTCCACAATGGACTCCATTTTTCCATACCTTTACTGTGCACGTAATCATTGTCTTGTGTCAGTTTCCCCTAATGAGGCAATGACATTTCCTTCTGTTTGGTTCTGTCTCTCACTTTCAATTTCTCCTATTTTTGCCCAACAATGCTATGCTGTTTTTAAAGTTCAGTTCAAAATGCTAAGCCCACTAGAGGGACAATTCACCCCTTTCCTTTACTGCTAGAGTTGTATACACCTCTGTTTCTACCATGAAGCCTATGCATCTAAGTAGTGAGATCCTCACTTTTGTGCTGACAGTATCTGAAACTCAGCATACATACATTCAGTAAATAAACATAACTGCTTATCTGCTTATGTGTTTCATGACTGAATTTGGCCTTCTGGTCACTTGTCACTTCTAAGAAAGAGATAATTTCTTATATTTTTTCCTTGAGAATAAAAAGCCTATGATAATAAAAAGGAAATGTTGACTTAATTCATGATGTTGGCATCTGTGACTTTGGGGTGAAGTGTTAAGCCATATTATTTCAGTCAGTCTTTTCTCTCAGTAGTAGGCCTCTTGGCTACAGATGGGACTTAATTGCTCCTTAAATATGTTTAACATTTATGTTTCGATGATATTACCCACTAGTCATTTAGCACTTCTGTTGTAGCTTTGTTATCCTAAACTCATCAATTTTACTATGAATTCTTATTACTCTAGCTCAGAAAAATATAAAAATCTGTAGTTTGTTCATGAGCAGACATAAATAAGTGTCAGGTTCAACAGCTTGCTTTTATGAGAAAAGGATGAGTTAAAATAGTAAGTACACAAACAAAAATTCATGATTGTGAACAGAGTAACCATTATAAAGTAATGGAAACATATATTAATTTGGAGATTTTACTGAGTCTCCTTCCTGTCTAGCAAAAATGTTTAGTTATGTGTTCCATTGTGCCAAGGACAGACTAGTCCTTTCCAGTAACTTACCCTCTGACAGCGTGAATAAGTCTCAATGATGGATAGGCAGTTCGCACTTTCAGTTTATTCTTAAGGATTAATGCATTAACCCATTCCACATGCTTCTCTCCTCCTTTGACCATGAAAGCAGGAATCCAAAGGACACTGTCATTCAGCATGGAAAGTCTATGCACAAATTTTTCTCTGTCACTCTCATTCCGAAAGCCTCCAAATGCTCTTTGCACAACTGATGGATTCATGGTAATAAAATCTGATTTAGTTCCCACATCTGCAGCAAACTCCACCACAGGAGCTAGGTTACACCTGAAGAGGAAAAAAAATAATGGACAAATGACAAATAAATATGAAACATTCACTCATAAAATGACATACATGAAAAGAAGAATGAGGAACAAGCATGTTATTTTTTGTTATTTTTTTTTCTTTTCCTCTTCTTTTTTCAACAGGTGAAGGAAAAATTCCAAAGATAATCTGCCTGGTAAAATTATGTTTTCAGTGAGTCACCATACTTTCAAAAATATTGCTACCAATAAGCATGCACACTACCATTATAAGACTCAAATTGCCACTTCTATTCAATCTGTTGTCTAAGAGTATTTTTACTGTTATTTTCATTAAACTATATGATAGAATTCACAGTAAGTGAATTTATGATGATAAATTCACTATGGCTCTGTTGCCATGCAGTAGGCAATATAATCCATATGCTGTTTGTGTAAGTACGTAAAACACATTGGACTTGGTATCTCAATTTGTACGGCTTGCAAGCTTACATATTTTCAACAATTTCATATATATAACTGAATGAATTCAACTTCTGTATGCTCTGAGTTAAAGGGAATAGTACAATTCTTTACAGAATTTTGCACAAACATATTTGTCATCTGTGGGTCAAGTGGGGAAGAAAAGAAAGAAAAATGTAGACATAATATTTATTAAGTCTTTCTGGGATTTGAAGTAAAAACAAAATAACAACAACAACAACAAACAAACAAACAAACAAAAAACCCTTTGATGTAAGGTCAAGTATCCTCCATTAGGTTTCTTTTGAGGACACCTTAAAGGTACCTTCTTTCCCTGTTAGGACTTCTTCATCCCTAGGAAATGTTCAAGTTAGAAAGAGAAAGAACTTGTGGTTCTGAGCCAAAAGGTCTTGAAAAATGCCTGACCTGATTTTATTCATGTAACTAGGTTCTATTCTTGTATTATAAGACAACTTTGGAAAGCATCATTTGTGATGCTTTCTTGATTCCATCATATTAATTTTGGGATATTTGATGTAAACTATAGCCTTTTAAAAACTCACTATGTTTAATCTGCTTAAAAAAGCAGGCTAAAATCAAATGATGAATGAAAAACTAGATTTTTAACAAACATGAATTTACTAAGAAAAAATTCATTTGAATTTATTCAATCTAAATCATCACAAAATATAAACATACTCCTCACACACACATCCACATGCATACACACACATAAGTAGAACTTCTCTCCCCCACCTCCTTTCCTTTTATCAACCTTTCAAGGGAAAGAAACATTAATAGATTTTCTTTTTCAGTATTTTTACAGATTTGATTTCATTATGAAAGCATCTCACATTTCTCTTTCTCATATATTGTACTGCATTAATTACATTTTTCCAACAGCTAAGTTTTAATTAAAAATTAAGCATGTGTTTTATTAAAAACATTGTCTTGTATATTGTTCTTATATCTCTTAATTAATACATTTTATTTCTTCCCAGATCTTGTATAACACTTAGCTATTGAACAAATCTCTTTCATCTCACACTGTTGAGAAAATTCTACAGTGAGCTATTAAAAGAGAAAAAATGTTAATGTCAAGACATTATCTGTAAATTATAGATTAATTATTATCTTTCAATTTATATATCTTTATACCCACTATATCGTATGACAGAGTATTTGCTTTCACCACTACTTGAGATTGGATATTGTTCATTTCCATCCTGATAATGATATTAGAAAAAGGACTGCCCCGAAAAATAATTGTTACCCATGAACAGATACCAAAGTGAACATTCTATTGTGAATTTCATAGGAGATTAAGATTTTGTATTTTTGAAGTTCTAAAAAAATGTGCTGCACACAAAAGTTAAAAAAATCTAAAATTTTAATCAAACTTATTATAACATGAATTTGGATACTGTGTAAGGAGGTGTATTCTGAATATCATTATTGCAGTCACTTCTCCTTTTTGATGTAAAATGTCAAGAACACTTGTTAACATTACAGTTAGCATGTTTCTGCCAGGGGAGATGACAGCATACACATTTTTCTGCTACACAGCAATGCTTAGCAATTGCTTTCAGATGGTGCTCACTGTAGTAAAACAGTATCTAAACTCTACTTTCTCCATAACATAAAAGTAATTAGAGCAACCCCCTTGAAGAGAATAAAAATTATATTCTGTTGAATATTGTTAAGAAGAACCTTACTTAAGTACATTATATTTTTAGTTGTTTTTCCTCACCTCATGCTTAAACATCCTATGTCTTACGCCATGTTTGTCAACACCTACTCTTTCAAGATTGATTACATATATTTCCGACACATGTTTGTCTGGGCATTCATCTTCTAAGAAGTGACAAAATGTTCATCAATTAGAGCTGAGGGCTAAACTCGGGTGCTTTTCACTTTGGAAACAAAAGGAAGTTTATCAAATATTTTTGGTGAATAGGATCGATCTAGGAGACAAACACATTTGATGCAACTAAACAATGATAAATGAGTTTAATGACAAGGAGGAGAAACTGGATATCAAATGGTATTAAATCCATGCTTATATACATAGGACATGGAGCAGAGGGGATTTGAGCAATCCGAATCAGGTCTTGTGAGTTATGGTAACTGAGGTATGGAAAACAGAAAGACAGTGACAAATCATACAATATACACTGTGCCAGCTCTTGGAGTCCACTTGTCATGTTCGTGGGAAGGAGTATGTGTAATTTCTCACTGGAAAGAAAGAGTAATACCCCGGTCCACATGTGGCCAGTAAATTGCTCTGTGGTTGAGTCAGATATTTTGTCATATAATTAGCTGAATGTCACATAATCAAGGAAAAGAACTCAAGAAAGCCAAAATAAACCACCAGCTGTGCTGTACTCGGCAGTTCAGTAAACTCAAGAACTAGAGAACATTACTTGGAGCAATATTGCTGATTCAGTAAGATTCTAAATGCATTCTCAATCTCAACGCTTTCATCTTTTTAAAAATTTTAGAGGTTATAATATTCAAAAGTAACTGAAATGTTTCTCAAGGATTTATGAAGTGAAACATGATTACTCATATTAATGTTAACCTCATAAAATAGATGAGTGTCCAGTTTTTAAATGGTGGATTTTTGTGATCCAGAGCTGCTGAGTGCATTTAATAGACTCAAGCTCTATTGTCTTCAGCCAAATCAATTGTTTTTTGTACTGTCAAACTATTTGACAAAACAGAATCAGGATAATGTACATGCAAAATTAGATGTGGTGAGCAAACCTTCTACTTATTCTAAACTGTTCTGGACTCCATCTATTGAGGTTGATTTCTCAATGTTGATTAATTGCTCACAAGAACAAAGCTAGGTCCCCTTGTATTCTAGACCTCCGAATTTTCTTCTGCACACACCATAGCATATCACGCTGCATATCATCACTTCTCAGCATTCTTTACATGCAGAAATGAAGACATTTCCTTTAAATTTAAGGCAATATACAACACTTATTTTAAAATTCATGTGGAAAGTAATGTTTACTTCATTTACAGATACTACAAGATCATAGAATTTCCTTACAAAAAAAGTTTCTAGGATTTGTCAATGTTCTCTGCATTTCTCTTAAGTTATAATTCCAAGGTCTAAGCAAGTAGGAGGTCTCTCTTTTATTTATGTAACAGTCATGCACAATTGGTGGATAGAATGCCTTTTCTAGTTATTTTGTATTTCATGCTACCTTACAATGACAGAAATCCGTCCCAAGTGTAATCACAGATATTCTTAATAATATTGATGAGATATGGCTCATTCATTTAGCCATCTGCTTATTCATTCTATGGTATGTTTCACATATTTCTGAACTAGTTACCAAGTTTCTGATGTAAAGTATAGATGGTATACTGAAAATTTTGGAATTTGTACATTCTTACATATTCAATGTAGATTAAATTAAATTAGAAGAAAACAATTCTAAGTGGGTTATACCCACTTTTTGGTTAATATTCAGACAAGTCCTAACCACATAATTATCATATTTCCTTTTTCTTCTTTTGGCCAATCCGCTATGTCTTTCCTTGTACTAACACTGAAATCTTTCAACCTAAACTATCATTATCAATGGGACCACATTTGCCAGTACACTGGAAAATAGGAGAGTCTCTTCTATTCACAGAGGAAACTTCTAGAAGCTTACTCTCTTCTTGCTTCTTGGCTTCAAGAGCCAAGAGAATAATCTCTGTTACTTTTTTTTTTTTTAAGCTTTATGGTTACATGCTCAGAAAAGAAGTTGGAATATGCAATCTGTTCATCTCTGACTTCTTGAGGTGAAAGGTAGTAGGGCTCCAATCATCCTGAAACCAACCATTTTTGGATGAGGTCAGGAATAGAATTATCTATATATTTAAGGATGAACCGCAGTAAAGGTGATTATGAAACATGCCCAAGGGCATGGAGATTATGAAAGAAAAGGACAATCAGGTTTGGAATGGCTCCAGGACTGGAGTTTTAACTGGCTTTGTTTGTACATATGATTTCTTTAGAAATGAGGGAAAATGTCTATATAGTCATCTTCACACAAACATTCATATAGAAGAAAGTCTGCTTTGTCTTTCTTACCTAGGTTTTAGTCTTAAACACCCCACATTAAAGCAAGGCCATGTTATACTAAGCCATTATGTCATGACTATCCCCAATTCTAAACAGTTACTAAACAAAAGGGTTTTAAATACCTACAATATTAGATTAATGTCTGTACATCAGATCTTTTGATGGAATAGGTTACCAAAATGTTAAATAACTACTTGGTAAGACTGTTTGACACATAAAGAACAGGGATAGAAGTTGATTTACATGTAGTCTGGCATTAGGTAGTAAACAAATTACAAGAAATAAAGATGCAAATCATGTTGAAGATTTACATTCTCAGTATACCAGATGAACAGGGACACACACACACACGCACACACACACACACCATATATTATGACTGCTTAAACATTAATAAAATCCTCAGTGTTATAATTGAATACAAATACCACATTTTGTGAAAATAATGATGTGACTTAATAGAAGCGGAAATT